CTTCAAGTGTAATGTTGATGCTGCCTCTTTCACGAGCAGTAACCTCACTGGGTTTGGGATAGTTATACGTGATGAGATTGGTGCTTTTGTGAAAGGTTACCCGTCCATAGTTCCTGGTCTATTCATTTCGAAAGAAGGGGAAGTAATGGCCCTTATAGCAGCAATTAAATGGGTGATCAGCATGGATATCCAAAATGTGGAATTTGAAACTGATGCCCTAGTAGTATGGAAAGCCCTTCGTGCTGTCCGAATTTGGCTCCCTCGTTCATGAGTGTTCCTTCTTGTTACAACAAGGTGTAAACTTCTCGGTGGCTTGTGTCAAAAGGCAAACTAACACCGTGGCCCACAGCTTAGCTAGGGCTTCTTGTCGTTTCGTTAATCCTTGTATCTGGCATGAGCCTCCAGCGTTTGTGGATGACTTGCTTGTTTGTGATATTTCTGGTTGATTAATGCATTGCAGTTTATTCAAAAAAAAAACTATCTAATTATCGGAAAATGAGTAGTTATTATTAAAATAAAAGGAAATAACACATAAGCATGCATATATACAAAAAATAATAATCAAGCCAAAACGGGCCCCATGTGGCCCCACTTATGGTCCAAAAACTCTCTAGTGGAGTTGCTAGTCTATGGGCGTCAGAAAAGTGACTCACTTGGGTTGGGAATGGAGTTGCCACCCATCAGTTATGGAAATGGATTTGATGAGACCTCCAAGAATGAAAACAAAATTCATTTTTGTTTAATAGTGACTCCAAAGCCTGAGGCACTAGGTACACCAATCCGGGTAAAAATCGGATGGGAGAGGGAAGGGGTTAGGCACCCCTCTCTCGGGTCCAACAAGTGGGGTCCACATGGGATTTCAAACAGGCATAACACAAAATAAACAACTATGTAAGCAAAATAATAAAGAAAGCATACCATAAGAACAAACCATCACAAAAGAGAATCTACCTTACCATTTGCATTTTTTATTGTTTACTATTATTTGCTTCATTTTCTAATATTTATTTTTTATTATTATTTTCTTTATTTTGTTTTATATTTATTATTTTTATCATTTATTTATTTATATAATTTAATCCCAACAATCTTTTTTTTGCTATTTTCTTATAAAAATCTATTTGCACTTTTATTTTATGGAATTATTTTTCTATTTTCTTGCATATTTATGTTTTTATGTTTCTTTCCATTATATTTTTTTTATTTTTGTATTTTTCCTTTTATTTACTTTTATCAACTATTTATCATTTATCATTTTTTATGGGACCCTATTTTTATGTTTATTCATTGGATTTATTGTCTATTTATCCTATTCTACCCTAAAAAAATTCTCAATTTCTTTGTCAATTATAATTATAGAAACTGAAATGAATAATTTAAGATTTAATTTCTCTAAAACATTTAATAAAAACTAAAAATTATAAATAATTTATTTTATCTACCTTAAATGATTTATATGTTTTATTTTACAATTATATATTAAAAATGAAAACATGTTTATTATTTAAAAAGGAGTTATTATTTATATAAAAATACTAAATTAATAAATATTCCCAAAAATAATAAAAATTAAAAATTATAATTATAAAATTGAAATAGAGTGACAATTATTTTTTGATGTTTGAATGCTCTAGAGTACCAGTATTGTTAATTGTAATGTTTCTCTTCATATAATATATTGAAGTATGCATTTCTTATGTGTTTATAACTTATTTGCAAAGTGTTAGATTTGTATTTATTTTCCTTACGTATCCAAGCGTTTTTATATCTTTTGTTAGTATTCATGTATTTGCAAAGTGTATCTGCACCTGACTTGTCTGATATGATACGTGATACCTGATACTGATACTTTGATCCTTGTTTATATTATGTAAGTAGGTAGTGATGAAAGAAAACCCACACAGATGGTGAGAAGAACTCGCACATGGTGAGGAGAATTATCTTTTTTGCTTTGTGCTCATCATTTCTTAAGTTATTGGATACTATATATATGTTATTGTATGTTGATTATACTCAATTTTTTCAGAGTTTTACAGTACTTATTACTTTATTTATGGTCATCCGAAACTCAAATATAATGTTATTGATTTATTTTCGAAAGTTGTTTGAGTTTCCACTGCATCCATAGCGTATCAATTCCTATCTTAATATATTTCCACTGCATCCATACACATTTAAAGCATGTCGTAATAAGCCTCTTAAATTTGCATTATCAATACTTTGAACCTTGCTCAACGCTCAAGATTTTTACTATAACAGTTACTGGATTTTGGTTCACCCTTGACATACTGGCCATTATGGTGTGAAAATCATGAATACATCCTTTCAATGTTTTGAAAACCAAACAGACCATCCAATTGAATTAAATTTAAATGGTAGGGAGAACCCTTTCGAGTTCAACCAAATGTATGAAACAACAGGACTTTTGAGGTTGAATTAGGAAAACCCAGGGACTTTATGTTGATGACCCATAGATATTCTATGTTTGATTTAAGATGCAATTGGGTTTTGAAAAGATTTTAAATGTCGACGTGGTATGCCTAATAAAGGTTTATTGTGTCAATTTCCCAGCGGACTAAAACATGACACAGGTGGAATGACCCAATTTTCATGCACTTTATTCCACCATACATTTTTTATCAACCAATACATTCATAATCCAATTTGCATTTTCTTTAAATTTAAATTTCCCCAACTTCCTAATTAGAATTTTCAACCAAACTTATAATGCTATCATTGGAATCTATCTTACACAAATTCCAACCTAAGTTGCATAATCCCTTGCCACTACACCATGTTACATGACTACATTAAAGCAAAAATGTTTTTAAGTTCCAACATTTTTAGATCAGCTTTGATGAAAATTGTCTTGCCAGCATCAATTAGAAAATTGTAGTTTGTATAGTAAAGAAAATAATTGATTTATCATTGAAATTATTATCTGTAAGTGTTAAAGAGATATATTTTGTTTAATAAAGCATATTTGCATATTTTAATTCTTATCATTCTATCATTTCTAATGCTTCTTCTTTTCTTCTTTTTCATGAAAATGATTTCCAACACTGCCTAATCATATCTATCTATTAATTCACAAATGACGTTTTTAACGTTGTTAAAATCCTTAACGTGATTTGTAAGTATACCTTATGAAAAATATACCTTGTGACAATTTTAACCTATTTGGCTACTTTTTTGAATTATAATGCAGCACCAACTAAATATATATTTTTTGTGTTTATACTTCATTTATAATAATTGGAACCTTAATTTAAATTTATTGATTTATATTTTGTTTTTGTTCCTGTAATATCCAAACCATTCCACTGTATCCAAAGCATATCTTGATTTCACCATCATCCAAATTTTATCTTAGCTATACAAGGTTAGCTACATGAATCTTGTTTGTGGTTCTGTTCTATTTGATTCCATATCATTGGTAAATTATGAGAGGTTCGCTTAAATCATTTCTTACTACTTTGACACATATCCTTTTTAGTATATTCCTAACCCTTAAAAAATGGCAAAAAATCATTTCTTCCAAGTGCTTTTAATGGTCTTCTATGCATGTGACCAAATCATCTTAGCTTATTTTTTCTCAGTTTATTCAACTATTGGAGCTACTCCTAAGGCCCCATTTGCTTTTTGGTAAGTTACTTACCTAGGTAAATGCAATTACCTGGGTAAGTGTCTTACCCAAGTAAGTGCATTTACCCATGTTCTTTTTATTTCCCATGTAAATAAAAGCAATGACCATTTTAGCCATAGAAATCCATTATTAAAAGGGGCATTTTTGTCCCATTCAAGTGTTGGCAACTTTCCCCTTGTGTGGGAAACTTATTTTCCCATCTAGGAGATGTGTATCACTTTCTTGGGTAAGTGATACCTAGGAAAATAAACTTTCCTTAGTCCCCACATAAAACTGAGAAAAGGACATAGGATTCTTGGCCAATGGGAATCAAATTCCCATTGACCAACTTCCCCCTCTCCAAATCCAAAAAAAGAATGCCCCGTTTGCTTTTCGGTAAATCACTTACCCGGGTAAATCACTTACCTATATAAGTGCATTTACCCATGTTCTTTTATTTCCCATGTAAATAAGGCAATGACCATCTTAGCCATAAAAATTCCATATTAAAAGGGGCATTTTTGTCCCATCCAAGTATTGACAACTTTCCCCTAGATGTGAAAGTTAATTTATCCACCTAAAAATTAGGTATCACTTACCCGGCCCAGGAAAATAAACCTTTACCAGTCCCCACATAAATCTAAAAAATGAACATGGATTTCTTGGTCAATGGGAATCAAAATCATATTAACCAATTTTCTCCCTCTTAAAATCCAAAAAAAAAATGCCCCCTAAATATTTTCAAATAATTTCATTTCTGGCCCAATCCTTTTTAATTTTTCCACCTATATCTACATTTATGTTCTGGACATATTTGTTGACTGCCCAACACATTGCTACATAAGCATAACTATTTTTACAACTATATTATAGAATTTTCCTTTGATTCAAGTGGTATTTGACCAATGCATAAGACTCTAGATGCTCCTCTTCATTTTACCCGTCTTCAGTAATTTTATGGGCAACATCCTCCTTAATCTCTAATTTGTCATGAATTATAGAACCAAGGGAATACTGATCAATATTTTGAACCTTGGTCTATCATACATAGATAAGAGCCACCAAGTGTAGTGCATGGGGAATCCTCCCTTTTGACAAAAAAGCATTTCATGGACTTGATGGAAATCTAAAAGTTAGGATCTAGGAAGTAAAGGACGTATCACAGAAATGCCAACGTAATTATGGAACAAGGTTCGTGCTTATTTTAATAAACAAATAACTAAAACTTTTTTTTAGGTTCAGTTTGGAAAGAGTACAAATGGAAATATGTACAGTGCAAATATATACAAAATAATATAAAATATAAGGTTTGCACTCTACATATTTGCATTTGTACTCCTTCCAAACTGAGCCCTAACAAATAAGTAGAAACTCATGCAATACAAGCTCTTGGATATATTATAATCAAAATTATAATATATCATACTTGAATCTATTACTTGGCAGTGGACGATGTGTAATTGCTATATAATAAAGTGGTGAACCAACTATTGCAGTGGCTCTGTACCCTAATCTCCTATTGAATGAAGCATGCACTTAATTTTGTTCACAACCAACACCAACAGTTGTCAAGCCGCAAAATACAAATACAGAACAATATGTACTTATGTAAGATGGTTGTGAAGTTGCGAATGCAACTGCTAGCATGCAGCGCAACTGCAAGAAGAAGATGAATACAGAAGTTACAGTTAAAGAATAATAAATGTGACAAAACTAAAAAATACAACGATCAAAATTAAGAAAAAACAAATGGATAAAGAAAACAAGAGGTCCAAAGATGTATTACTAACATTTTGACACAAGAAGCCAAGGATTTATCTGTTTGAGATATCTAGAGATGGTATTTCAAGTTACAGTGCGCAAACCATGCCCGAGCATTATATTCTGAATCCCTGGAATGAAGGTGATAGAATTCTGAAGAGGCCATCTGGGTTATCAGCATGGACCTGTCAAAAGTTTTCAGCATGAATAACTTAGCAAAGTTTTTTATTAGTACGTTAAAACTACTCTATTCTCCATGGAAAATGCTAAGACTGTCTTGAGGACCATTGCTTTGGTTTGTTCTTAATGCTTAACCCATTGAAACCTGCCTTGGACCTATGTTTTCGAGTACAGTAATTTCAAAAATATTTTGGATGGTTTAGATTTTAGGGACATGCCAAAGTGTTCCTCAGGACTCGACTAGCATAACCCTTTCTCTAAATGGAGCATAACTGGTTATCGTACTCCAAAAACAAGTGTATGCATTGTGTTAGTGCTTTCTTTTAGAGGGTATTGTTATCTTCGGTTGTGTGAGTTCAGATATGGCAATATGCCATCATAGAAACAGTATGTATGTATTTGTGCATGCAAGAAACAATACAAAGAGATATCTTCAATCTCTTTCCTTTCTGCAAGAGAGAACTGTCCAGGTTTCAATATGAAATAACATGGATTATCTTGGGTTAACACCCAAAATAGACCCCAGGATAGACCATCATGGTAAAAACCGCTTATCTCTTAAGGTGTGTTTGGCCTATTGAGCTCGATATGATGCCTTTATAATCACTTACTATTCAGAAATCCCATTATTTACTATAGGTGTTTTTTTTTTTTTTTTTTTTTTTTAATGTGAGCTGAGCTACTATAGAAGAACAGGCTGAATTCTTTTTCTCTGAGCTAGGACCTGTAATGAGGAATGCAATTCTTACATCACCCCAAAAAGATATCAGTTTCAAGCTGTGATGGGGTATCATGATACGATAATGCTACATTTTATCATGGATCAGTTGCTCATAGAATTACTCTAGCCTCCATGTTTTTTTGTGGCCCATCATGATAGCTGCAAGAGAAAAACTCACAAATTCTATTGGACTGCTGAAGCTAGGCATTAAACCACTGTTGTTACCATTACTGAACATACAGAATTGACTAGCAACATACCCTTTCCTAAAAAAATAATTAATTAACTGCAATATGATTTACCATGCCACATTTATTTTTGTATACATACAACATTAGGAAATGACCTTACTCATATTTCAGTGACAGATTTCTCTCTGTTCACATCTGTGTGTTGCACCCAAGCTTCAAAACAGAGATAGGCTCACAAATGTTAATGGGAAGAAGCAGTTATGGGTAAGATGCTTGAAATCCAAAGATGATTATATAAATGCTGTATTTCAAAGGATTGAGGAAGCAAGTAATCCACCTGGGTTATCGTAGGCTGGCAATGCAAATCTCAAATGGCAATTAGGAACTCCAAGGGGCGGACCTTTCTTATTCAAGTTTCCCAGTAAGAGCAATTCCATTTTTACGCATTAAAGCAAAGGAGATTGGCATTTAATGACCCAGAGTCAACTCAGTTATTAGGGCCCCGTTATAGGTTCAACCAACTAGCAAGATCTGTGACTGATGGATCAGAATTTTAAGAATCCCTTTCACTTTTGCAGATGCAAGTGTTTTGTGGTTTCATAGATGTGGATGGTAAAACTCTTTGTGACTTGAAATTGCCTTGTTTTTCTTATTGATCTGGGGAAAAAGCATTCAATCAAAACTACAAGGCTGAACTCATATCTTAAGGAGTGGAAAAGAGAATGCAGAACCACTTTGATAATGGTGATGGAGCTTGGTTTATGGGTATACAATAAAGATGATCTTGAATCCTGAGATCATGGAGTGCAAGGAAACAAGAACCAGTTTAGATGCCTCAAATCCAAGTTCATATTTTGATACTGTAGGACTGCTTTACAGTTTACAAGCCTGGTGAATTCAGAGTTCTGTACAATGTGGGGATTGGCACCTGTCAAAGGTGATAGGAATGCAAGGGTTACAAGTGGGACCAACTTCCTGATGATCCTGAGGAATGGTAGTGCTTTTAGAGGGATAAATTAGAATAGTTTATTCTCTGTTCCATCAAAACTTGAATTTTAAATTTTGGCCATTTTCATCATTATACACCAACATATCCAATTGCTCCCATATTTAGGTGCCTCTTGTGATCCTTACTGTAGAGAAAATGGGCCAAATGAGCCTTAGTTTCTTTGTTTTTCTTCATGTTATGCTTATGACTTGTGTTAGTAGGTAGTGGGCCTTAGTTATGGGCCTGTTTTCTCTTTTTTTATTGTTTCTTATTGCTGGCTTTAGTGATGGATGCCCTACTAAGGGCACTCATGTAATTGTCCTTATTTTTTACAACAAAAGAATAAAAGAGAACATTGGGGGCTGAAGAGAGGTTGAGAACTACTCTCTCTTCTTCTTCCTTTTCTTCCATCTTCTTCCTCCATCACTTCTCTCTCTTCAATCTTCGTTTCTCTAGTTTCTTTTCTTTTAATTCAGATTATTGCAGTGTGATTTACAACTTGGTATTAGAGCAGGTTCTCACCTTTTCTTTCTTCTCTCTTTGCCCATGCACAATGTGAATAGAGAATTGATCGGATGATTAGGGAGCAGCTTATGTAGCCCAGTTGGGAGGGTTTTTGGAGAGGTTTTGTGAACTTTTTCATCCCCAATTGAAGCCTAAGGCAGGTTCTTGGAGTTTTTTTCCTGAAAACCCTAGACAATTGGAGAAAACTAGTTATAGGTCCTAGAGATACACTTTGAAGTTGGTGCTTGAGGATCAAAAGGTAGCCTATTGAATTTAATTAAGGACGATTTGAGTTGGACAGGGTTCTAGAACCTCTGGTAGGAGCTGTGAATAAACCCTAGTTGATTCTAGGTCAAAGTAGAGAAGAAGAAAGAAGAAAGAAAAGARAAAGAAGAAGAAGAGTGTTCRGCCAGACTAGAAGAGAGAATATGAAAAATCACTCTCCTAGCCGACCCACTTGAATTTTATTCATAAAACTTAGAGTTACAAGAAAGACTATTTTGTYCCTCATAGAAGATGGGACACATAACTTAAACTCAGATACAATAGACCTTTCACTTTCAAGAAGATAAACCAGAATGACCAAAATACCCCTGACCGAGCATTCTAACACTCCCCCTCAAGCTGGAGAGTATATATCATATAGTCCTAGCTTGTTACAAATGTAATCTATTCTTCCCCGAGACAATCCCATTGTAAAGAGATCTGCCCACTGATTTCTTGAGCTCACATGAGATGTAGTTATTACCCCACTTATCGCTTTCTCTCTCACAAAGTGACAATCTACCTCAATATGTTTAGTTCTTTCATGGAAGACRGGATTGGATGAGATGTGAACAGCAACTTGGTTATCACAGTATAGTTTCATGGGTTTGTCAATTGAGAATCCCATCTCCTGTAGTAAGTT